ACAGAGATTCTCCCAGAGGCATTTCATCAAACAGTTAGCAGCCTCACATGGATTTTACTACCAATGAAATACAAGATTGCAACCACTCAATCACTAAAACGCGAAATTAGAAGTAAAAATTTGATTGTTTTATTATGTTAAATAATGAGAATGGAAGAGAGTTTTGATTCACTTAGAAAAGGAAACTGAGAAGGGAGAAAATGTAGGCTTGGAGTTGAAGCTTGGGAATTACCTGCGCAAACGCAATGGAGAGCGAGAAGAGCCACGCGAGAGGAGAGGACCCGTGTGTGAGTGCCTCTTTATTTTCAGCCCCACCAGGATTGTGTTGTTGGGTCGGGTCGGATCCAATATCTCAAACTTAAAAGACACACCTCCAACCCATTTTAAACTTCTAACCCGATAGATGACTCATTTCAAAAAAATTTGGTTTTTCAGAGTTAATGAACCATATATGGTTTCCCCTCACGGACATCCATTGTTAGGACATCTCTAACCATGTTAGAGCTAAATTCAAATTTTTATTTTCCAAAATAATACTATTTATGTATTTTCAGAACTCAAATTTTTTTTTTCCTCCAACCTTGCATATTCATAATTTGAGTCCGCAACTTTATTAAATTGTTTAAGAATGATTATCCCATAAATTTTTTTTCTTGTTAATTTTTCTTGACATTATTTTTGTTTCAACATTCGTAATTTAATTTTCTAAACATTTTAACCTAAAAAAAATAAAATTTCAAAACATAATAGAATTTCACTTAAAAATAAAAACAAGTACAACAACATTTTATTTCATGGACTTTGAAAGTAAAAATAAGTAGCACACAATTTATATTAAAAACAATTGAACCACACGATTTTTTTAAAAGCAGTAGCAATCCCTAGAGCTGCTATTTTTGCGTATGCCCGGAATAATTCGAACCCTTCATTGAAGCCATTACTATAATTGTCTTCCATTTTTACTTTTACTTTTACTTCATTAGATTCCTTTATCCTCATTCAATAATGTTCTGAACTTTTGCCCACCTCCACTTGTGTTCTTCAATTATTTTTTGAACCATTTCCCATCTCCTATTGTCTTGTTTCAATTATGTTCTGAACCATTGCTCATCTTTTTCCATCTCAGTTTATTGGATTCCCTTATCTTTCCTATTTTCATTCAATTATTTTCTCAACCATTTCTCATCTCTTATTGTCTGGTTTCAATCATGTTCTGAACTATTGCTCATCTTTGTTCATCTCACTTCATTGGATTCCCTTATCTTTCCCTCTCTTTTCCTATCTTTATTCAATTATTTTTAACCATGTAGGGCTCTTCATTCTCTTTTCTGTTATTCTACCGAATTGACCACACAATCTGGGTTATTACTTGGCCGATTGTATCTATCCTCGTTGGGCTATATTGGTTAAGAAGATCCCAACCGGATACTAAAAAAAAAAAGAAAAAGACTATTTTCCCAAAAACAAGAGGCTTATAAGAATGATTTGGAAGAGCCTTCGGAATACTTCATGCTCAATGGGCAATTGTTATGGGACCTGCACGTATGTAGCGCAAAGAACAACTTCATTCAATCATGATGACGTGCATAATATTGCATAACATGATTGTTGAGGATGAGTATGAGGATCTAGATGCAGAATTTGATGATGATGATAATTGACCACGAACATCTAAAAGAGCAAGAGCAAGACTTGCTTATGAGCTCGAGCAACTGTCACGTACAATATAAATCGAGACAAACAAACTATCTCAGACTACATGGTCCGTCATAATGGAGTCCGTGCTTTGCAAGTGCATCACAATCTAAAAAATGATTTGATCAACCACATTTGGAGATGCGAAGGAGAGGGCCAATGAGCTACATTGTGTGTTTAAATTATAAAAGTGGTTGTGTGATTTTAATGAATTATGTGGTTTATCATTGAATTTAAAAAAAGACTAATCATAGAAAAATAAACGACAATCATAAATAAAGATAAACTATAATTATAAATAAAGATAATCAACAATTACAAATAAACATAAATTAATAACCACTATGTGGAGGGCTTGGATAATAGTTTCTAGAGTTGTCTTCTGGATTGTAAGGGGAACTTGTATTCATTTAGGCCTCAATAATTTCGTCTTGCTTATTTCCCCAATACTTCTTCTTTCTCAGAGTAAATTTGGATAGGTCCATGTACATTGTTCTCTGTTCATTGGCCTCCTTATCTTGTTGGATTTGATAGGCATGTTGTTCTTGTAGGAGCTCTAACTTTCGCCTCCTATCCTCCTTTGCCTCATTTCCTTGTTGAACCAATTCAAACAAGAACTTTCCACTTTGGTTGAGAGAACCTTCAACACCTTTCCCTTTTTTTTTTTTTTTTTTTTTTCATCCTTCTGTTTATCTCTTTCCAACGGCCTTAGAGTAGGCATGACCACATCATCTTCATCTTCCTCCAAATTGACTGTATTGCCACTATGAGAAGAATCTTTGAATGTTTGTGTAGGAGATTCACATAGGTCGTTCTATTTTGGGTAATCTTTTAAGATTTGCCAAGCATGATACAACTTGAAATGTCTATTTTGAAGGTTTATTATCATTCAAGAAAATTATTTTTGCATTCATATCATACCCATGAAATAAAATAAAAATCAAGTTAATAATTGAAAAGAATTAGAATTATAAATTTAAGCATTGTAAAAAATGGGTACTCACCACATCTTCAAGATTGGAGCCATTCACATGCCTTGCATTGGCCTTTATCATACATGCCTTCCATAAAGAACATTGTTGGTTGATGATCTCGAACCGAGAAGCAATAGCTTGCTGTCATCGTACCTCGTCTCCGCTTATGCCTGGATTATTTTCCAAAAACTTTTGGTACACATGCAACCAAAATGAGTCTTTTGATTTATTGGTGCCAATAGGCCCATCTTCAGAGATAGAAACCCACCCTTTGCGCAATGCCTCATCTTCTTGTGGTTTTCAATTCACACCTCTTTGGGGTTTTGGGGCCATTCTCAACAAGAATGAACGTAGAATGAAAAAATAGAACAAAGGGAGAAAGGAAAAAATAATAATTTTTGGTGGATTATTTACCAAATGAATGACTATTTATAGAGTTTGGAATAAGTTTTGTGGTTGGATATGATTTAGATTAATTATAAATATTATTTTGATCGTTGGATTTAAATTTGAGCCGTTGGATGTGAAATTTTACAGTTCAGATTGCCTAAAATTAATCCTGATCATTGATGTAAAATATAGCTGTTGGAATTATAAATATATATATATATATATATATTTTTATAAAAAAACAGCACGACTTTTGAATTTTTAGACGTTGGAATCACTTTTGCTGGAGCTGCCAGTTATGTCGCACAAATCTGCTGGCCAGACAGCAAAGTTGTCTCGTGGGGCCCATCAACTTTTCTTCTTCACATGGGCTTCCAAGTAGGCCTCATCCTTTGGCCTACGGGCTCATGGGCCAATGGGGGCCCGCTGGCCCATAGAAAAAAAGCCCAGCCTGGCCTGCCTTGGGCTGGGCTAGGCTAGGCTTGGGCTTGGGTGTCTGAAGCCCGGCTCGGCCTGCCCACGAAAGCCCGGCGTGTTAGGCCCGCATACATATATAATTATGTATAAATAAGAGTTTAGGATTAGGATTATATCACCTAAATCACATATATAATTTGTTTCATTTCATTTACTTTTCTTTACTTATATTTATTCATACCATTCTTTAAAAAAAATATTTTTTTGATACTTATTATTTTTTTAAATTATTTCTTAAAACGATTATGTAAGAACCTCAAAAATAATACTTGGTTTTATTATTTGTGTGAAAAATCTTATTAAGTTGTGTGACTTTATTGGGTGTTTTATGAATTTGGTTTGATGTGAAAATATTGGAATTAAGTGAGTTTAATCTCAAATTTGGACTAAAATACCCTTATGATTAAGTTTATGATTTTTTTTGAATGAAATAGGCCTGTTGGGCTTAGCCCTGCCCGGCTCGATGGGCTTTCTCAAGCTCGGCCAATGGGTCGGGCTTGGGCTTTGAATTTGGGCTTGGGCTTTGAAACCCAGCCCGACCTGGCCCGGTATTTTCTCTCTCCTCTTTAAAGCCCAGCCCGACCCTTCTCAAGCCCATTAAATTTGGCCCAGGCTAGCCTGACCCGGCCCATTGACGAGCCCTACTTCCAAGCAAACTTTGGGCTCCACATAAAATACCAGTCTAGGCAAAACTTGGACCACCCCAAATGTGAGATTTCTCAAATTTCCACCCCCCAAAATACATGGGTTTGAGAAGAATTTTGGACTTAAAACTGAAAATTTGGGTTTTCTCCCTAATGGTTGGAGATGGTCTTAGGCCTTCTCCAACCCATTTGGACTTAAATCCAAATTTCCTCTATCCAAAAAGTAACTATTTGGGTTTTGTCCGAACTCAAACCAGTTTTCCCCACAAAATTCGCAACTTTATTAAATTGTTTAAAAATGGTTTAAGTCTATTTTTTTTTTCATGGATAACTTTTCTTCATTTAATCTTTTTAAATAACTTCATAATTTAATTTTTTGAACAATTTGATCTAAAAAAAATTGAAATTCCACAAATATAATTTTGTTCTAAAAGAGAACACACAATACTTCAAATTCACCATACATGAAACCCAAAATTCACCATACATGAAACCCAATAGGAATAAACTAATAACCACCATCGTGGGGGCTTGGATAATAGTCCCCTGAGTTGTCTTCAAGATTAACTGCAAACTGTTGACCCAGTGCATGTTCTTGCATAATTTCATCTTGTTTAACCCCCTAATACTTCTTCTTTCTTGGAGTAAATTTGGACACGTCTATAAACATTATTTTTTGTTATTGGGCTTCCTTATCTTGTTACTTCTAATACGCATAAGCATAAGCGTAAGCTTGATCTTGGACAAACTTGTCCAATATATTGAGCTCCGGTCTCCTATCCTTCTCGAAAGCAATGCCTTGCTCAACCAATGATTCCAAGTACTTATCCCTTGTTTGTTGAGAAGGGTCAGCCATCTTCCCTTTTTGTTTTTTTGTTTTTTTTTTTGGGCAGCCTTTTGTTTATCTCAGCCCTCAAGCCTTGGACTAGGCAAGGATGGTCGTGGACTAGGCATGGCGATATCGTTTGCATCGTTGTGTGAGAGGCTAATTTATATCGTTCCACTTTGGGCAATCTTTTATGATTTCCCAAGAATGGTACAACTTGAAAGGCCTAATTGGAGGTGTTGGGGTCTTTTTCTGTCG